AGCAACACCGCTTCTTCTTTCTCACTCGCTCTCTTTTCTGTGTCTCCCTTCCCAAACTAACTTGCTCTTGAGTGATTTCTGTCCTGTTTCTCTCACCTGGTGAAATTTTGCAAAATTTTGAAATGCGCAAATAAGGGAGGAGGAGGAGGAGGAGGAAGGGGTGTGACTTGCCTTAACACCTGGGAGGAAGGTTTGTATGTGTCCCGAGCATGCGTTGAATTCTCCGGGTGTGTGTTCTGCGCATGACGTTGAATGGGGCCTTCTGTTGGCCAAGGTCTTCATCCCGGCCGTCTCTTTTTTTGCCCTCCAACCTAGATCATGTTTGAGACCTTCAACACCCCAGCCATGTACGTTGCCATCCAGGCTGTGCTCTCCCTGTACGCCTCTGGCCGTACCACCGGCATTGTGATGGACTCTGGTGATGGTGTCACCCACACTGTGCCCATCTATGAAGGTTACGCCTTGCCCCACGCCATCCTCCGTCTGGACCTGGCTGGCCGCGACTTGACCGACTACCTCATGAAGATCTTGACCGAGAGAGGCTACAGCTTCACCACCACAGCTGAGCGGGAAATTGTGCGTGACATCAAGGAGAAGCTCTGCTACGTTGCCCTGGACTTTGAGCAAGAGATGGCCACTGCCGCGTCCAGTTCCTCTCTGGAGAAGAGCTACGAGCTGCCCGACGGGCAAGTCATCACCATTGGCAATGAGCGGTTCAGGTGCCCAGAAGCCCTCTTCCAGCCTTCTTTCTTGGGTAAGTCCTGAAGGACCACTTATCTTCAAGTAGAACTTGGGTTGGGGAGAGCCTCTTGAAGGGAAGGTGGGTGAGGTGGTTTTTGGGGTGTCCCAGTTTTTATCTTCATAGCGGGCATCTTCTCTTGGCAGGCATGGAGTCTTGTGGCATCCATGAAACCACCTTTAACTCCATCATGAAGTGTGACGTTGACATCCGTAAGGATCTCTATGCCAACACCGTCCTCTCTGGGGGCACCACCATGTACCCTGGCATCGCCGACCGGATGCAGAAGGAAATCACCGCGCTGGCACCCAGCACAATGAAAATCAAGGTGAGACTTTGGAGCTTGAACAACTTGGCGATGGGGGGGTGGGGCAAGTTGAGTATGGTTGGTCCTTCTATAAGCTTTGGAACGTTGTGGATATATGCCCCAAGTGACAAGCTTGGGTTAGCAACCACAACTTTTGCGTGTCCCTCTTAACTGGGGAAAACCTTGCATGGTCCCCATTGGATGGCCTCAAGCTGGTTGGTAGGTTTGGGTCAAGAATTGAGAGCGGGGGTGATGGTTTGCCCACTCCCCTTAACTAGGAGCATGTGATGCATTGGATGGTGCGGTGACCTAGAGGTGGAGTTCTCGCCTCATAATCCAGAGGCTGTGAGTTCGATCCTAAGTAGAAGCAGATATTTCTCTCTCTGGGTAAAATGACAGTATATCTGCTGAATATTACTCTGCATTGGTGACAGGAAGGGCATCTGGCCAGTAATCACTCTGCTCCATTCAGTTGCCCAGACCTCCACCCCACAAGGGTCATTAAAAGGAGGGAAAAAAAGTGATTGGATCTTGAGGGACCAGTAACTTGATTCAGCTTTAGTTCTAATTGCTTCCTCTTACCTTCTTCCAGATCATTGCCCCACCTGAGCGTAAATACTCTGTCTGGATCGGAGGCTCCATTCTGGCCTCTTTGTCCACCTTCCAGCAAATGTGGATCAGCAAGCAGGAATATGATGAATCCGGACCGTCCATCGTCCACCGCAAATGCTTCTAAAGCAGGACTCAGTTACCAGAATAGCATTTTTTTCCTCTTTTTTTTGACAAAAAAAAATAATAATTCTCCCCCCCTCCTCCCCATAACTTGCGCATAAGCGAAAAAGTTTTGAGATTTGGCATGGCTTATTTGTTTATTTGGCGCTTGACTCAGGATATCAAAACTGGAACGGTGAGAAAAAGGTTTTGACGGCGGAAGCCTTTATTAAAAACAAAAATGCAAAAAAAAAAAAAGTTTTGGAGCGAACACCTCCCTCTCTCCAACCCCCTCCCCCCCCCCCCCCGCTCCCCCCCCCCCCCCCCCCAGTTCTGCGGTGCATCTGAAGACTTCGATTGTATGTGTGTTGTTGTTTCTTTTTTTGAAAACAATAGTCATTCCAAATAATCGTATAAAAATTGCATTGAGAGGAAGTTAAACCGGCCTCTGTGAAGGCAGCAGCCCAGCTCTTTCCGAAGAGCAGAAAACAAGATTGCCAAGGTTGATTAATTCTTTTTTTTAATATAGAAAGTATTAGCTTTGTCTGTGAATCATGATTCAAGTGTCTCTTGTCTCTTGCGCCTTAAAACAAAACTTTAAAAGAAAAAAAAATAGCCACACTTGATCGTCATCTTTTGGGGGTCTTTTTTTAGATTATTTTGGGTCAGGTCCAAAAAAATATATAAAATTGAACGGGCTGCGGGTGTTTCTCTTCGTCCCAATGAAACACATGAAGGGTTAGGGTTACAGTCTCCCCTCCTTTTGTGTCCCCTTCCCAACTTCCGAGAGGGAAAGCACCATTGCACCCTTTTAATGCCAGTATGTGTAAGGGGTTACCAGGGCAAGAGGGGGGAGGGGCAGGCAAAACTGTATACACTGACTCGAAAAAGAAAAATCCCAGTTTCAAATAAAGATGCACAACCATAACTCTGGATTGTTTTGTTGGTTTTTATCAAGTCAGCAAGGAAGGGTATCGTTGAACACTTTGAATTGGTGGACCGAGAGGTTGGTGAGGTTGGAAAGTTGGCACAAGTTAGACTCTACCCAGGTCCTTTTGAGAATCTCTTTCCTTACATCAAGACCGCTTTCCAAAGCTCCCTTTTATTTAGCAGGTGGTGTGTTCAGCCTTGTCAACTTTGGTGGACTTCAATTCCCAGAATTTCCCAAACACCAACGTGGTTAGGAAATTATGGGAGTTTAAATAAAAAGTCCACAAGTCTTAAAAGTTGCCAAGGTGGGAGAACCCAGCTTTCAAGGATGCATTTACTCCAAATAGATGGGGACCTAGAGAAGACCTTCATGTTTACAAGGAAGCCAAAACCCCGATTCGGACTACCAACAGCTTGTCATCTTGGCTCTTGCTTTCTTTTTAAGATGGCCTGAGAATGGAATATTACTGGTTTTTAGCCCTCTAATTATTTTGTAAGTATAACTCAAGGCAGCAAACTGAAAACTGAGTTTGAAGCCTGGTGATTTGAAGATGGGTGGACTTCAACTCCTCAGAATTCCTCCTCCAATAATCCTGGAAGTTGAAATCCATGTATGGCAGGCTGGGAAATTGTAGATAAAGAACATCTTAAAAGTGGATAAAACACTTCTAGAAGCATGAGGATAGAGGAAAATCAGCAATTCCTGTGTTTATTACAGTTTCAATTGCTTATCTCCTAAGCAATATACAGATTATTCTCTATGCAAAATGTTCTGTAGCAGACCTAAGGGAGTTATTCCATCAAACGGATCAGGACAGAATTTTCACAGATGATTAAAAAAAAAACCATAGCTTGCAAGAGCCATTGGTGGCATCCTCACAATGCATGGTGTCCAATACAATATCAATTATTTTAGCCATTCTTATCTACTACGGGATGAAAGCATCTTCTACATGTTTAGAACCAATAGGATCCTAAGCCATGTTTTTCAAACTTTGCAATTGAAGATGGATGGGCATAAACTCCCAGAATTCTCCTTGCCAGAATTCTGGGAAACTCATGCAAGGCACTGATGGAGAAATTCTGAGTTGCAGTCTGGATGCTGGAGGAGGGAGTTGAGGCCCATGTATGTTGGAGGGAGGGGACGGACTCCGGGGAGTTGGGAGTTCACCCACCTTCAAGTTCTCAACTTTGAAAAACATGTGGGAGTCCCAAAGGTGCTTTTTCAAGAGGAAACAGGACTTTGTTTGGAAGTCCAGTTGCCTCTTGAAAAAGAACCTTTGGGACAACTATGACCTGGATGTTGGTCACCACACTATAAAAAAGATGTTGAGACTCTTAAAGTGTGCAGAGAAGAGCAACCAGGATGATTAGGGGACTAGAGACTAAAACACATGAGGAACAGTTACAGGAACTGGGCCTGGCTAGTCTAGTGAAGAGAAGGACCAGGGGAGACAGGATAGCAGCCTTCCAATATTTGAGGGGCTGCCCCAGAGAGGAGGAGGGGGTCAAGCTATTTTCCAAGGCACCTGAAGGCCAGACAAGGAATAATGGATGGAAACTGATCAAGGAGAGATTCAATCTGGAAATAAGAAGAAACTTTCTGACAGTGAGAGCAATCAACCAGTGGAACAGAAGTTGCCCTCGAAAGTTGTGGGAGCTTCATCCCTGGAGGCTTCCAAGAAGAGATTGGACCGCCATTTGTCTGAAATGGTGTAGGGTCTCCGCTTGAGCAAAGGGGTTGGACTAGAAATCAGGGGTCTCCAACCTTGGCAATTTTAAGACTTGTGGACTTCAACTCCCAGAATTCCTCAGCCAAACAAAGCTGGCTGAGGAATTCTGGGAGTTGAAGTGCACAAGTCTTAAAAGTTGCCCAGGCTGGAGACCCCCCTGGATTAGATGAGCTACAAGATCCCTTCCAACACTGTAATTCTATGCCTTCTATATGGATGACTGGACAACCTCCGTGGACAGATGTGGGAGCAACACAAAAGGCTTTAAAATGGCAATTGCACAAGCTTGGAGACCCCCCAAGCTTGAGGTCAGGATTTGTGCAGACCCCCCCGCCCCTTCTGACCCATAAGTGCAGGGGGAAACACGCCCCCCTCCCATTCAAATGCACGAGTTTATAGGGAGGGTCCCCTCCAGGTTGCTGCGTTGTGTGATGGGAACAATTCTGCTTGCATAGGAGGCCACGCCCATCATGGTGGCGCCTCATCCAAGATGGCGGCCTTAAAGCTCTCCCTGGGGGGGGAAGCGGACGTGACGTCACGAGCGCGCCGGAAGTCCAGCGTCGTTCGGTGTGCCGGCTGAAGGGAAAGCCGTATGAGGCAAGGAGGCGGAGGAGGGCGAGCGTCTCAGTTGGCTTGGACGGGGGTCTTTTCCAGACCATGGCCTCCTCCTCCACCGGTGAGGTAAGCCCGGCTCTCCGAAGAGGCCTCGCTCTTCTCCCTTCCGACCGAGGGCCTCGCCTTCCCCGCGAGCCTCGGCGTCTCCATGGCAACCCCTGACTCGCAGGGCACGTCTGGACCCGGGAAGACGCGTGTCAGGGCAGGAGGTGCCTCGCCCGGGGGTGGTGGTGGTTTCCTTTGGCAGCCGAAGACCCGATTTTGGCTGGGCCTGACGTCGGGGGGTCTTATTTCTGGCAAGGGGCCCTGTGGCCTTGGATTGCCATGAACGGCGGAGGGGGGGGCTTCGGGGGCTCGTGGTTTTTGCACGTCCGTGGAGGTTGAGTGACAGTCTGGCCCCCTTCCAGATGTGCTGGAAACACCCACCCACCCCCATAACCTCCCACCAGCTCTTTGGGTCTTGCATTTTAACGGGCAGGGCTTTCAAGGCAGCCTTAAGGGGACTCTCTCCCCCATCATCCACAGCCTGCCTGGACAGCAGGTCTTGCCTTGCCTTCCTCGTCCAAGTTGCTGAAGGTGGGCAAATGAAAGAGAGGAAATACACTGCAAGGAAGGACTGGAGAGTCAGGCAAACATACAAGAGATGATGAGGATGACTATGACTATTATTACCATTACTACTACTGCTGTTATTTTATTGGTTAATTTTTTCATTTGATTCACAGTCTGGACCTGGTAAAAACTTAACAGTTTGAGTCCTAACCAAGGACCTAAGAACTGTTAAGGTAGATTATTATTATTATTATTGGTTAATCTTTAGTGACATTCACAGCCTTTGGCGCCGGTTGATAGCTCAACAGCTCGAGTCTTAACCAAGGACCTAGGAAGTGGTTTTTTTTTTTTATTATTATTATTACTAGTATAGCTCGAGTCTTAACCAAGGACCTAGGAACTTTTATTATTATTGTTGTTGTTGTTGTTGAAAGAAAAGGGTATTAACCTTGGTGATCCAGTTTGGTTGTAGTAGTGGTGAAGGCTGGAAGCCAAGAGACCATGAGTTCTAGTCTCACTTTAGGCACAAAGTCAGAGCTGAAGGAGCTTCTTGGATGAGAAGCGAAACGTCTTCAAACAAAAACCATCCTCTTGCGTGCGCGCGCGCACACACGCACACACACACACACACACACACAGCATCTTTACGACAACCAGGAGCTGGAGGATTGAGAATCTCCACAGACACAAAGCCATCTGGTTGACCTTGGGCCAGTCACTCACTCTTAGTCGTAAGAAGGAGGCAATGGCAAATCACTTTCTAAATCTTGCCAAGGACACTGCAGGGCTAGTCGAGGTGGTCATCAGGAGTCAACACAAAAGCCCCACAGAAAAGCATAATATGTGTAATATCTTTACACAGATAGCACCTTAGGAGAAAAGGAAGCAGCCACCTTGGAAGTGGACAGTTAACTGAAAGGGTAGTGTAGTGATGGCCTCCCCCTTGCTTCAATACCCCTGCCATCGTTTATTTTTAATTGATTTTGTTGTAATTTCATGACTTGGTTGTTTAGCCGTTCTAAGTCATTGAGCCTTGGCCAGCATGCAAGTTTAATGAATGATTATTTCGGCAGCCTTCGGTATAAGATGCAGGCACAATACTTGGGGTTCCTATATGTCCATTACTCTCTAGTGTAGGCAGCCTTCAGCCTTTGGTGCTGAATTTTGAAACAGTTTCTTTCTGTGCTGTTTCAATGGCTCCTAAAATAGTGTTGTCTCTGTTCCTTGACCAGTTGTGTCATTAAATCATCCCCCAAGCTGTCTTTTCAGTGTAAAAATGATACTGCAACACTTCTCAGTTGATTGAGTCCCGTGAGGGATCGGACGGATTCCTTCCCCAGCTTTTCGTTTCTACTTTTGTGACTTTTCCGAGTCCTTGTTTTCTTCTTGCAGGACGTAATAACCAGCAAGGAGAACCGGGAGGAGAATATCGGCATGAACTTGATGGAGTTTTCGGATGAAATCCTCTTGCACATCTTGCGATACACTCCCGTGTCGGATCTTGTCTTGAACGTCCGAAGCGTCTGTCGGAAACTTTCCGCCCTTAGTCTTGACAAAAGCCTCACTCACACCGTGATCCTGCATAAAGATTACCAGGTGAGCAGGGGCTGTCGAAGACGATCCAGAATTAGGAGGGCGCTGGATGAATTGGGTACTTTAAAAACTTGAGTTTTACTCAGTGGATCTCTTGGGGACATGCCAGGAATTTTGTAGCAAGAAGAGACCGAAGATGTCACTTTAAAAAAGATCTTCCTTTGAGCTTTATTATGGCCTTAGGATGGGGGAATTATCCTTTCCTTTTCTTTAAGAAGGATATAAGGGAAAAAATAATAATAAGGGAGGCACACCCTACTTTAGAAGGATATAAGGAAAAATACTGATCGATTTTCTTTCGAGTTGTCCTAAATTCGTAATTCAACGTTAATGTAATCCTTTTGTCTCTTTATACTGTCTCTTAGTTCTGTTCAGTTTGGTGGCCAAGCTATTCTTTGATCCAGTTACTTGGAGACCACCATCCCACGACCATGCCACAGATTGGAATCTTGTCCTTCGCAGGATGACGTAGCCCCCCCCCTTGCCCCCGCCCCCCCAGTCTAAAGCCATTTTCCCTGCTTGAAAAAGTAGGTTTTTGCCAACCTGTTGGTCCTGTTGCGATGGAGCTGCCCAGGATCCTTAAAAGGTTGCAATCCAGACTTATCCAGAGAAGATTAGTTGGTCAAAGCTGGCTGTGAGAAACTGGTCTGTGTCTTATTTCCCTTTTCAGGCTTAAAGGAAACTCCTGTGGTATCTGTTAAGGCATTAAGTGAGAAACCAGGAGGCTCTGAGTTCTAGTACTGCCATAGGCATGAAAGCCAGCCGAATGTCTTTGGGCCAGTCTCTCGGTTTCAGCCCCTCTTATTGTGGGGAAGAAAACAGGAGGAAGGAGAACAATGTGGGATCACCTTAATTTATTTACAAAGATAATAAAGGTGGGGTATAAATAAATGAATCTATAGAACAAACGCACCTTGTTTGCTTTGAGGAGATTTCCAGCCGCCTCTTAACATCACAGGTGGCCTTTGGGTAGGGAAGATTAAGGTGTTTTCCTTCCACCAGGCGGTTATTTGGCATTCCCTTCCGTATAGCTTCTCCAGGACTTGCCCACGATCGTAAATTTCGTCGTTTCAGTCTTCGGTCCTTGAAAAGGCGTGCATGAGTTGTCAGTAAAGCTAAGCCTGGCCTAACCAGGATCCTTTGATCTCTTGAACTCCGTTTCCACGCAGGTGGACAAAGACAAAGTGAAACAGCTGATGAAGGAGATTGGAAAAGAGATTCACGAGCTGGACATGACCGGCTGTTACTGGTTGCCTGGCTCGACCGTCGATCAGGTGACCCGCTGCAAGAACCTGGTGAAGCTGAACCTCTCCGGCTGCCACCTCACCTCCCTCCGCCTTTCGAGGATGCTCTCGGCCCTGCAGCACCTCCGCTCGTTGGCCATCGACGTGAACCCCGGGTTCGACGCCTCCCACCTGAGCAGCGAGTGTAAGGCCACCCTGAGCCGAGTGCTGGAGTTGAAGCAGACCCTCTACACGCCCTCCTACGGGGTGGTCCCCTGCTGCACCAGCCTGGAGAAGCTGCTGCTATACTTTGAGATCCTCGATCGGTCCCGGGAGGGGCTGATCATCTCCGGACAGCTGATGGTAGGGGAGAGCAACGTGCCCCATTACCAGAACCTACGGGTCTTTTACGCCAGGTTAGCGCCTGGCCCGGTCAACCAGGAAGTGGTGAGGCTGTACTTGGCCGTGCTGAGTGACCGGACGCCCGAAAAGCTCCACGCTTTCCTCATCTCTGCCCCGGGTGGCTTTGCTCAGAGCTGCGCCGTTAAAAACCTCTTGGATTCCATGGCCAGGAACGTGACGCTGGACGCCCTTCAGCTGCCTCGCTCCTGGATGAACGGCTCCAGCCTCCTGCAGCACCTGAAGTTCAGCAACCCTTTCTACTTCAGCTTCAGCCGCTGCAGTTTGTCCGGCGGGCAGCTGGTCCAGCGGGTGCTGAACAGCGGCAGGGACTTGGGGGGCTTGGTGGGCTTGAACCTGAGTGGCTGCGTCCACTGCCTGTCCCCCGATTCCCTGCTGCGGAAAGCGGAGGACGACATCGACAGCGGGATCGCCGAAACCTTGGTGGACACCTGCCGCAACCTGAAGCATCTCAACCTCTCCGCCGCTCACCACCACAGCCCGGAAGGCCTGGGGAAGCACCTGTGCCAGGTCCTGGCGCGCCTGAGGGGCCTCCTCTCGCTGGCGTTGCCGGTTTGCGCTGTGGCCGATGGAGCCGCCGCCCTGCTGACGGCCGACAAGCCTTCGGTGCAGCCCGTGGCTCACTCGGTCTCTCAAGGCCTTGGGAAGAAGGTCCGGATCGGAGTGCAGGCGTATCCCAGGAACTGCTTGGAGCAGAGCGTCCCCAGGCCGCCCGCCTCCGTCTTTTGGACTCTCTTGGAGAACCTCCCGTTTCTGGAAAAGCTGGAGCTGATCGGCTCCAGTTTTTCCTCCGCCATGCCCCGCAACGAGCCGGCCATCCGGAACTCCCTGCCTCCCTGCAGCCGGGCGCAGCATATCGGGGACGCTGAGGTGGCTGCCATTGGCCAGCTGGCCTTCCTGCAAAGCCTCACCTTGGCCCAGTTGCCCAATATGCTCACGGGCTACGGGCTCGTAAACATTGGGGTGCAGTGCCAGCGCCTGCGGGTGCTCTCCTTGGCCAACCTGGGCCTGATGGGGAAAGTGATGTACGTCTCGGCTCTGGTGGACATGCTGAAGCACTGCAGGTGCCTGCAAGATCTCAGGTGAGAGAGCCCAGCAGCTTCCCCCCCGTTTTACCCCCCAGGGGTCCTTCTGGGTCATTGTCCCAAAGGAGGCTAAAATTATATGAAGAACGGTTGCAGGATTTGGGTTTAGCCGGTCTAGAGAAAAGAAGGACTAGCGGCGGGACGACACGATGGCATTATTCCAGTATTTGAGAGGCCGCCCCAAAGAGGAGGGGGTCCAAATTGTTCTCCAAAGTTGAAAAACCAGCTTCTATCCCAGGGCAGTAGCTCTCTTGAATCCCACTGTATAGGGCAACATTCATGCCAACATCAGGGCTTTTCAATTCAACGTCTAGAATGCGAAGGGTGTGTGTCTGTGTTTATTTTCGTAGTCGTCGTGTGCACTGAAGATGGTGATTTAATTTCATCGCATGAGGTGCAGTGGAAGCCGGAAACCGGCCCATTTCTGGCCTCCTCGAACTCCCAGGAGGCCCGTTGTTCACCCTCCATGAGCCTCCATGCGCTCCCTGCCCTTACCTGCATCCAAAATGGGTCAGGTGGGGACTGTGGGGAGGGCTGGGCGGGGCCAGCCAGGCGTGGGATTGGGGGGGCTTTCCAAATGGCACAGAATCTTAGCTAGGGGCTCTCCTGAACCCTCAAGAGCCCACCCCTGCGGTCTCGAGGTGTGGAATAGGTGTGGTCCAGGATAGGCAGAAAGCCTCCTCCCCCTTAAAGCGCTTGCCCTCCTTGCTGAGGGTAGGGTTCTGTCCTAAGGATGGGGGGATCCCCCCCCATGCAAAACGGGGCAGTGTGTCTGACGCGGCCACCTGGGGATCCTCTGAGCTGTTTTCCTCTCTCTCTTCCACCTCTATAAACGTTTACCTGGCTTCCGAGGAAACCTTGGGAAAAGGTCATTTTAATCGGGATTCTTCAGACGATCTGGTGGATCGAGCAGGAAATTACAAGATGGGATTTTTTATTTCCCCAGGCCTGCTCCCTTGTTGAAGACAATGGCTGCCAAGCCCCCCTCAATTGATTTCCACCCCCCCCAAATACCAGAGTTATCAAGGTTGAGAAACACTAAACCAGGTTAGGGGTCTCCAACCTCGGCAACTTTTAAGCTCGGCAGAGTTCAACTCCTAGGATTCCGGAAGTTGAAGTCCGCCAGGCTTAAAGTTGACAAGGTTGGGAACCCCTGAACGAGGCGGTCCGTCTGGTCCCTTCCCACTCTCTCATTCATGGGCGGCCAGGGAATTCTGGGAGTCGAAGTCCACCCACCTTCCAGCGGCCCAAGGAGGAGAAACTCCACTTTTAGAGAGAATGGCAGATGGAAGCGCCAACCTGCACGTTTAATATAGATGGCACGCGAACGATAACTCTTTGAGTTGCAACCGGGATGGATGGCCGCCTGCTCCATCCTGCCCAGGGTCTCCTCCCTTCTGAACGGTTGCTCAATGAACTGTTGTAAGTCGAGGACTACCTGTAATGGAGGCTCAACTTCTGGATCCTTTTTTTGGGGTGGGGGGGAAGCTCCCCGTGGATGAATTCAGTTAAGGCCGGCCTACCGCTTCTCCAATTTCCGGGAGGCTCTGCTCACGCTCTCACCTCCTCCCCCGCAGGCTCGAACAGCCCTACTTCCACGCCAACGCCCAGTTCTTCCACGCCCTGAGCTTCTGCTCTTCCCTGCAGCGGCTCTGCGTCATCTCCCGGAGCGGGACGCTGCAGCCCGACGCCGTGACGTCCTTCATGGCCGCCTGCCGCAAAGTGATCATGTGTCACATCTTCGTAGGGGAGTCGCTCACCCTCTGCAAAAGCCTGCAGCAGACCCTCATCCGGAGGTGAGTGCCAGGAATCTTAACCAGGTTTTCCTCCCTTGCATGTTCTCGTTGGCGTCGTTAACCAGGACGGCGTCGTTTTTGATAGGCCGACATTCTTCCCAAACAGTTCCTTCTTCGTTTGCCTTAACTCGGGGGTCCCAACTCCAGGCCCCTAGGCCGGATCTGACCCGTTCTGACCCGGTCTACGCAGCGCAAAGAACAAACATGCCAGCAGTTTGGGGAGCGGTCTCAAGCTGGCGATGCCCACCCAGTCGGCCTCGCCTAGTGAGCGGTAATGTTAGGTGTGGCTCCGTTCAAAATCCAAGAAAGAAAGCCACAGCCACAGCCACAGCACTTGGACTTATATACTGCTTCCCAGTGCTTTACAGCCCGCTCTAAGCGGTTTACAGAGTCAGCCTTATTGCCCCCCCAACAATCTGGATCCTCGTTTTACCCACCCTGGAAGGAGGGAAGGCTGAGTCAGCCTTGAGCCGGTCAGGATTGAACTCTGGGCAGTAGGCAGTGAGGTTAACACTGCCCACTGCCCAGAATTCAATCCTGACTGGCTCCAGGTTGACTCAGCCTTCCGTCCTTCCGAGGTGGGTAAAAGGAGGAGACTCAGATTGTTGGGGGAAAGAGGCCGACTCTGTAAACCACTTAGAACGGGCTGTAAAAGCACCGTGAAGCGGCACATAAGTCTAAGGGCAATTGCTGTTGCCATCCATCCATCCATCCATCCATCCATCCATAATGCACAGCGATTAGAATGCAGTGTTGCAGACTAACTCTGTCCACTGCCCAGTTTGATGCTGACCGGCTCAAGGTGGACTCAGCCTTCTGTCCTTCCGAGGTGGGTAAAATGGGGACCCAGATTGTTGGCTGACTCTGTAAACTGACTCTGTAAACTGCTTAGAGAGGCTGGGAAGCGGTATATAAGTCTTAAGTGCAATTGCTAAACGTTTCACTTAGCCACATAAATTTTGGGCTCAATTGTGTCCGTAAGTCGGGGACTATATTCATTCCTTCACCTGCCCAACGTCTCGTAAGGGCACTGGTCTGAATTGGAATCTCCTTCCCATGTTGTGTTATCCTCTCTGTAGCCACCAGGTCTGTAGCTGTTCTCTTCTGCGTTCCTAATTCTGATCTTTTAATATATATGTGTGTGTGTGTGTGTGTGTGTATAATATATATTAAATATATATATATTAAATATATATATATATGTATGTATGTAATATGTATAACCAGTGCAAGCTGTGAACAATATAATGCATCATTCTTTGCCTTTGATTCTTCGCTGTGGTTCTTTGTTTGTGCTATTATGCACAAACTTTAGATTAAAAATTAATAACCTCTCCTGTAGCTGAGACTCGTCAACGAATACGAAATTGCCTTCCCTAATGGACATCTACTTTCTCGCTCTTAATACCTCAAGGCATTTGGTTTCCACAGCTGTGCCAAGAATTTGGTCATTGGTAAAGCTTCGCAATTGGTTCATATTTATGACGGTCGCAGGGTCCCTTTTAACAAGCAAAGTCAACGGGGAAAAGCCGGTTTCACTTAACAGCCGGGTTACTAATTTATCCGCTGCGCCGATTGGCTTAGCAATGGAGGTCGTAAAACGGTGCAAAACTCACTTAACAAACGTCTCTCACTGAACAACAGGAATTTTGAGCTCAATTGTGGTCATAAGGCGAGGACTACCTGTGTTTACAACAGTTGGGAAGGTCCGCGGGGAAAGCTGGGTTCTCTTAATCGTATGATTCACTTTAAAAAAAGTGTATAAAATTGGGCAGGACTCCCTTAACGTCCACAGCAGAATTCAATAGATTGGGTTTGTCTCTAAGCGTGTGTGTACGTGTGTGTATGTATATACATATACATACACACACACACTTAGAGACATATATATATATATATATATATATATATGTCTAT